AAAAAAAAAAAAAAAAAAAAAAAAAAAAAGTATATATTATATATAAAATGATATAAACATTAAATTTAAAAAGTGTTTATCACTCCAATAACATACCACAAAAAGCTTTTATGACTAAGTCCATAAATGTAAATTAACAATGATATATTATACAGTTCCATAACACCTTTTAAAAAATTGTCTTATATTCTCAGTCTAAATCTCTTCCATTTGATCTTATCTTTCCTCTTTTTAGATAAATAACTGATACAGAAAGGCCTAGGCAGAGAAAGGCTGAATACCTCAAACTGTAAGCAACCCAGAGCTCCTTGGCAAGGAGTTAGGAGTTGAGACACTGAGGAGGGAGACTCTGCTGAGCAGACTTGAGTGGCTGCTTTTCTATTGTTTCCCCAAATACCAAAGAGATCTAAGAAGTGTGAAATCCTGCTCACTGCCCACCCGCACCATCCCACGTAGGCAAAGAAGGTTCTCTGCCCAGCCAGAGGGCTGAAAGTAAGCTCCTGAGACAGGAACCAGGGACAGGTAAATGTATGAGGGTGAAGCAACAGAAAGTGTCACCTACATCAGAGTGCTTCTGTGATACACTGGTCAGAAAGACCCTGGAGGGAGAGCACAGAGATGATGGCAGAATTTTCCCTGCAGTGGGGAGTGAGACAGAGGGAGGTCACTGGTGCCAGGTTGATGGAGAACCACGTGCCGGGAAAACTACAACACATCTTCCCAAATTAAATGAGGTCAGATTTTGAGACAGAGACAAAAGTCTGCAGTTGGCCACACAGTTTACAGCCAGGAGGCGAGTCCAGAGAGATTAACAGTCCTCACCACTGCCAAGTAGTTCACCAAGAGGAAAGCAGCTTAGCTGTGTGCAGACTATGACTACAGAGTTAAGGAAACAGTGTGGGCACTCCAGCTGTATGGTATAGTGGGTGCATGGGGTTTCCATTGGTTTCCTTGCTTGTTTTTGTGTTTTATCTGTGTTTGTTTGTTTGGTACCAGGGATCGAATTCAGGACCTTGAGCTTGCAAGGCAGGCATGACACCACTGAGCTAAATAAATCCCCGGCCCTGGTTCATGTTTGTTTTTTTACTCGTCTTTTCTTTAGTTGTTTCTTTATTAATGCTTTTCATTTTACTTTATTTTTTTAAAGTTTTTTTCCTTTAATCTGCTCTTTCTTGGTCCTTCTCTTTTCTTGTTTTAACTTTCTTTCCTTTCTATTCTTTTTTTTTTTTTTTTTTTTTTTTTTTTTTTTGGTACTGGGAATCAAACTTGGGACCTTGCACTGGCAAAGCAGACAGCAGAACCACTAAGCTAAATCCCTGGCCCCCTTATTCTTTTTCTTTTTTTTTCCCCCTATTCTTTTTCTACTCTTCATTTTTCTTATTACCTAAGTTAATTACTTTTCTCTCGTTGCTGAGACAAAATACCCAACACCCAAAGTTAAAGAGGGAGAGGTTTACTTAGCTAACAATTTATGCAGGTTTCAGTCCATAATCACCTGGCTCCAAGGCAGGGTGGGTGGCAAACATGTACCACAAGGGAAACACAACATGGCATGCAGAAAGGAGCAAAAGCAACAAGGGACCTTAACAGTGTCTTTCTGCCCCTTTTACCTTATTCAGACTACCTAGGGCAGGTAGTGTCTTCAGGCCTATCCCCACCCAGAATCATTACACACTCTAGCTTCAGCCTCCTTTCAAAGAGACTGTATTGAGGCTTTGGGGGGGATCTAGACATAAACCGTAACATTTCCTTTTCTACCCTCTCTTCTACATATTTCATGTAACAAATATATAGCAAAAGCCTGTGAATGCACAACAGGGAATAAGAATTGAGCAGTGTTTTAACCTGAGCCACTGAAGGCCATGTTAGGGTAACCTTTAACAAAATTATGCTCAGAGGATCCAAACAAAACTAACGGCTAATACATTAACAGGTTCCAACAATCTCACAGCTATCCTCAATTGGTAATTATACTTTCCCCCACTGCATCCCTTCTCCAGCCTCCACGAATATTCTAACGAACCTGTTCAACACTAGCCCTTTACTCCAGTTACAAAAATACTTCCACTGCGATCACCCGGCGGCGTGCGCGCGAGCTCCCGGCCTGCAC